ATAAATGGAAAAGAATGCTGAAAATGCGTGAAAAAGGTAAAACGGGCTTGGACCGGATACGTAGACCACTTGAGCACCATTCAAGCGCTAGGCAAGCGGTGCCAGTGCCAACGGGGTGATGAGTGGGCAGAAAATCACTGAAAATTTCTCCATAATCCATATCTTGACCTCTTCAAGCCTAATATAAATGTCAAACTCCCAATTGAACTTTCAAATTGAATTTCAACTAGAATTATCAAATAAACTTCGAATAGAACTCTCAAATAGCATTTCAAATAGAATTTGGATCACACCCTAATTCTAACAAACTCCACATTGACACCAATTTCATTGCAATGAACAAAACTTTAGAAATTCTCCACCTGAAAATAAATTCGACAGCAATGAATAAGACTTAATTCTTAAACAAAAACAAGAACATAAAAAAAAAAAAAAAAATTCCCCATTAAAATTTCCATATGAGAAAATCCTCCACCTTTACCATAAAACTCAATTAGGGCAAAACTCAGGGTGTGTTTGAATCACATTATTTTGGAAAAATGTATTTTAGAATAGTAAATTGATGGAAAATGTATTAGAATAGTATATTGATGGAAAATGTGTAGTTGAAAAAGAAGAAAAAGTTATTGATGTGATGGAAAATATTATTTTATTGAAGAATGTGTGGTTGAAAATGAGTAGAAGAATGAGAATGAAAATTTTAATGTGGATCAAACAGGGGCTCAATAACTGAGTATCAACCGAATTTCAAACACTGCTCGTAGGATTACACTGGACATCAAAGTTGTTCAAATTATTTTCACGTGCAACAAAAAATCATAAATAATTTAATAATCACCAAACAAGGCAGAAACAAGCCATGTAACAAAATCATCACAACTAACTCTTTCAATACAATGTTCCTGGTTAGAATCAATACATTCAATTACATTCAAAGAAAAGCAACTGAATCAGCATCCATGTACCTATGTGGAGGCCTAATATTTCTCTTGCTTTGTCTCTAACAATTGAATACGTGACACCGTTGGTAATGGCAGCAAAGCAGAGTTATCCATAACTTCTGAACTTGGCTGAAATGTACGATTCAATGTAAACTCCAAACTAAACTCCGAGGTATTGAACTAAACTAAAAATCCACCTGAGTGCCTAAATATTGCCGATTGATCTTCGAAAATTTTGTAAAACCATGCAAGATATATAATTTGGACATTCTCTGTCCCTTCATCACAATATGAGCACATTTGTTAACTTACTGGACTTCACTTTCACTGATGTATTTGTATCCATTCAAGTTAAGAGCACTCAAGGAGATGAGATTTTTTTTTTAAAAATTTGGAATATGTCTTACAACATCAAGTGTTTTGACAATCCCATCAAACATTTTAGTTATGTTGTTTCAATACCAGCTATCCTATAGGGTGGATTATTATCCATTATCACAACACCTTTCAAAACTATTTCATATGTAGAAAAAAAAACCCAATTGCAACACATGAAAAGTGAAAATTGTATCAAAAATCTAATCCTCATCAGCCATCAAAAATAATCTCTATCATCGTGAGAATTTTCTGCAATACTGGCTTTACCCTAAGTATCTAGTTGCTTCCCCTTCTGATTAGCTGCATCCAACTTTTCTTTATTCTGCAATTTATAGCAATCATTTATCATGTACCCCTTATTCCTGCAATAGTATAGATTTTATTACTGAAGTTAAACCTTAATTTGCCCCTCGCATAATCACAATCAACAATAAGGCCATCTCCTCAAATCCAACAAAATGCTTCATCTTCTCCTTTAAAAATAGAGTATCATAGACTTCTTTAATGGATGAGTAGCACGATTGTATAAGATCAGTATCTAAAAGACGTATCTGAAGCTAGCAATGAACACAACAAAGTCAAACCCAGATCCTGTACATCATATTTAACCTCCACGGTTTCCAAATCAGCAATGATTTCCATAAAAATAGTTAGGTAATTTTCAAGGGATGTACATTTTGTCAAATGATGAGAATATAGACGCTGCTTCAAATACAATTTTCTAGTTAGACTCTTCGTCGTGCATAATTGCTCCAATTTCAACCACAATGCAGTACGCGGTCTTCTCCTTCAAAACTTTCTGAAAAATATTATTTGACAGATGAAGATGAATATGTGACAGGTCTTTTCGATCCCTACATTGTTAATCATTCGGTGTCTAAGTTGTGGACATCTTATCAAATCCTAACAATGCATCATCTACATTCATCTAATCGAGGACTGCTCCAATTTTTACCTGCCTCAATGAAATTTTTGGCTGCGATCCAGAAACATAATATCATACTTCATGGTTTACATCACTAAAGATCAAGTTGAGCTCTTAACTTGATCAAACCTCACTCTGTTACCAATTTGTTGCAGTATGAGGATAAATATATATTGCAAAATATGAGATAAATATCATAAATGTACAAGAACAAAAGATAATCGGCATAGGAAATAAGAATTAACTAAAATATGGAGAATGAATACAAAGATTTTGTATTTATAAATTTGTCTAACTTGTCTAAATCACAATGAATAACTAACTATATATGGAGAACGTTTCATACCTTAGAAATAGAGTTATAGATGGAAAAGATTGCTGAAAACATGTAAAAAAACGTGAAATGAACCTGGGCCGGATACATAGGCCGCTCGAGCGCCGTTCAGACGCTAGGCTAGCAACGCGGCGGCACTCGAGTGTCAGGAGGGCAGTAGGTGGGTGGCAACTCGCTGTAAAAATTTGACGCTGCTGCTCGAGTAGGAGGCTAACGGCCAGCTAGAGAAAAAGCGTCGAAAATTTCTCTTTGGTCCTTATCTTGATTTCTTCAATTCCAACACAAATTTCAAACTCTCAATTGAACTTCCAAATTGAATTTCAACTAAGATTGCCAAATTAGCTTCGAATATGATTCTCAAATAGCATTCCAAATAAAATTTGGATCACATCCTAATTTTAACACGCACATCTATCCAAAAGCAAGTGTAGTCCACTCACTTTATATCTTCAACTCACAAGGAAATTTTATTCCTTGTGATTTTATTCAACATGGTTTTATACAAAAAAGGTGGAAGGGAAAGCAGAGGCATCAAAAGAAGAATTCTTTATGGTGTGTTTGAGTCACATTATTTTAGAAGAATGTATTTTGGAATAATAGATTGATGGAGAATGTGAGGTTGAAAAAGAAGGAAAATTTTTGATGTGATGGAAAATATTATTTTATTGAAAAATGTGTGGTTGAAAATGAGTAGAAAAATGAGAATTAAAATTTTAATGTGGCTCAAACAAGGGCTAAATTTCAAAATTTTAACGACGCCATGTAGCATTTTATTAATAAAGAAAAAGTATAATATAAATTTAAGAGGGGGTTTGACTTGACTTTCACCTAAAGGTGCAAAACTAAGGGCATGTTTGGTTTGTGTTTCAATATTCATTTCTGAATTTTGAATTCATTTTCTATTTTCTATTTTGAGAGTCTATTTTCAAAATTTTTAAAAACGCATTTTGTTTGTCATTTTGAAAAACTAATTTACAAAACAGAAAACTAAAAATGCGTTTATTTTGAAATTTTGAAAAATTATTTTATTACATTTTATTCTATTAAATTTGATTATTCAGTAAAAAAAGAACATTTTTACTTTACTATACATTTTAAAGTTAGTGAATCTTATAATACTTTTTCTCACTAAAAAGTTAAACTAAAAAATAAAAAATAAATTTCAAAATATAGGAAATAAAAATAAAAACTAATACGTGGACATCAACTATTTTTATTTGTGTTCATTTAAATATTTTTTAAAAAAATTATGTAAATAATCATTAAGAGTTAGAACTATTTTTATTTATTTATTTATTTTTACAATCTTGATTTTTTTCAGTATTTTAATTTTATTTTTTTAGAATTATATATTTTTAATTTTTTTAGATTTTATCAATTTTATTTTTTGAATTTTAATTTTTTATAATAATTTTTTTTCAGGTTTTCAATTTTGAAAATTTTATTTAAACACTTGTTTTTCATATTTTGAGTGTTTTCAGAATTTTACTACTGAAAACACACCATTAAAAAAAATGCGTTTTGAGTTTTTTGTTACAAATTTATCCTTGTTTTTAAAAATTTATTTTCAAAAATAATAGATCAAACATGTTTTCAGTGTTTTATAAAATTGAAAACTAAAAACGTCTCGAAAACATCAAATATTCGGAGATAGGAACCATGTGGTGAGAGCCAAAGAATTGAACTATGTAAACATAATTTAGAATGAACCCGAAAACGAGCAACATAAATATTTATGTGACGTATTCCATTAATATTTGGTAAAGCTATAAATCTGAAATCACATTCCATGAAAATGATATCTACCTCGAGTAGGAAATAGTATATATGACAAACGTGGAGCTTTTCTTATTGATTGGCCCAAAGTTGGATATCAAACTAGTTTGATTTGAAAATTTTAGTATGAAAAGGACAGTCAATTGAAGTTAATTAACAATCGCTTTCAAACAAATCAAGTGATTAGTACATTATCTCCAGCAGGTAAGTACCTCGACCGGACAAATAAACAAATCAAAAATTCAACAAGACACGAACTAATCTGCCAATTGATAATGACATCGTAAAATAAAAGTAGCAGAATATGAGAAAAATAAGACGATTAAACTTTTCAAAAGACAAATGCAATACTTGAATAAGCAACAACAATTGTCCTTTTATATACATTTACAGCATCAAATAAAAAAAAGGACCAACAACTTCAGAAACAGTAAACATTAATCCAAGAAAATGACCAACAACATCAGACATTAATACATCATAAATTTCAAATAACAACATGTGTGTGTATGTGTATACTCACATATACACATATAAGAGACGATAATAATCGAACGGGTTTATTAATAATTTTTATTGGAGCTATTTAAGGCGCCTGCAAAGAGTGAGGCCAATCGAACGGGTTTATTAATAATTTTTATTGGAGCTATTTAAGGCGCCTGCAAAGAGTGAGGCCATCTCCAATTGAAAGCTGAGCCAATTCAATACGAGAATCAGCTGCTAAAAATGTGTTGAGTTTCATTATATAACCTCTGCATCCCTTTAAGTAATCAACCATTTCTTCATCCTCAGATAATGCTACTGTACCAGCCCATAATGTGTTGTCATAAGCTATAATTCCACCAACTTTGACTAGCTTTAGTAGCTGTTCATGGTAGCTTATGTAGTTTTCCTTATCTGCATCGACAAATGCAAAGTCGAATGTTCCTTCTTCTCCCTGTATATAAAGAGACTTCGTCAATAATTATCGACAGTAATAGGGTCGAGTTGATGGAGAAACATATAGAATGGTCCAAGTTAAAGAAACCCTTTTTTTCATGTACTTGTTACCTCAAGAGTTCTGGCACAAATTGTAAAAAGGAGTAGCTCAGGTATTATTATTGTTATTTATAAATGAGTCGATTAGAGGGTAAGATACAACTTGAATCGTGTAACTTTCTTTAATAGTAAACATCTGTATGTACTTAAAGAGGTAGAATGTACCTCGGCTAAGAACTTGTTCATAACTGTGGTGGCATCAGACTGAATGTACTGGATTTTATGGGTCATATTTGCCTTCTGAATAAATGGCAACCCAGTCTCATATGCTTCTCTATCTGGATCAATCGCAATAATCTAGAGAGAGAGAGAGAGAGAGAGTATTGTTAATTAGTGTCTCATTATTACTCATTATTCAAACTTATAATCTAAAATTAATGAATATGATTACTTTTCCATCATCTGGAAGAGCAAGAGCAGTTGAAAGAAGTGAGTAACCAGTAAACACTCCAACTTCAATAGTTTTCTTTGCATTCATCAGTTTCAATAGCATTGAAAGAAATTGGCCTTCATCGGCAGGCACATTCATCAGGCTCCTGAAATTAATCGTAAATAAATCCGCGAGTTAGTGCCTTCAATTTTTTGGCAAAAGATCTTGATTGCGATAAATTGTTGTTTAATTTTTTCCATCGTACCAAAACTGATACTTGTCGACAGTAGCATTCCTGAGTTCTTTGAGTTGTTCGTGCTCTCTTGGATACGCACTTGTTTCTAAAAGATACTGCAAGATAATGTACGTTGTTATAGTAGATCAGCAAATGCAATGCTAATGTAAAAATTATCAAAAACGAATTAATTGGAACACAACTATTAAGAAAATCGAGTATATGCAAATCAAGATCTAACTCAAAATATTCTTACTTTCAAAATTTTTAACATATCTTTATATATAATTCCTTCATAGAATTCAAAAAAAAAAATAAAAATCAATATGTTGAGGGACTTTCCGCCCCTGTGGCATCAGAAAGAAAAAGAATGGTGCAGGAAATTGAAATGAACCTTAACGAGTTGTTCGCTTTGAAGAATAGTGCTTGTAAACTTGTCCTTCATCGTCGAAGATTTTAAGAAAAATTAAAGAAAGAATAAAAATAAATTTAGAATACAAGAAGAAAGAAGAGAAGAAAGTTTGCTATTTCCTCGTCTTGTGGACGAGGAATTTATATAGGAAATCTCAGAGGACAATTGAGTTGATAATGCATCATCACCAATTAATGAACGTGGAAGTGCTACTGAGCTGTCCTTCGAATCTGTCGGGAAATTTGTTGGGTCTTCAATTTCTTCGACTAAGTTCTTATTTAGTGGAGTTTAAACTTAAATTTTTAATAAATTTTGATAAAATGCAATGTATCTATTTAAAAATTGTGAATTCTATGAAATATATGGTTAAAATCAATTATTCACATTAATTTAGATTAAATTTTTTACTGAATATAGGCTAAGTATCTTAATTACATTTTTTTAAATGTTTTTTAGACAATTTACTTTTAATTTTTGAGGTTGACTGATTATTTTAGACAGTTTACTTTTTAGTGAGGGTCGATTATTCAAATGATTGAGCTTAGCGTATGACAGCCCACCGCGTCTTGTTAAGAAGTTTTAATTTTGTAGGACTGGAACAAACAAATAATAAAATTTTATTTTCATTAATAATTTGTGTAAGCAATTTTAATTGAATAATCTATTTGTAGCATTATTGTTAACAATTGTGATTGACAACATTGATGTTATCAAAATTTGGACCATTAATTTAAAAAATAGTTTTTAAAATTGATGAATGTAATGTAATGTTGTCAAGTGTGAATTGTCAATCAAAATTGTAAAAAAATATTGTACAAGTAGCATGATTGATATTGAAATTAATTTTGCAATATACAACGCATCTAAAAGTTTTATTATCAGAATACCATATAATTTTTGCATATATATTTTATTTAGGAATATGATAATCAAGTAATCAGTAGTAATTAAAATGTTAAGGCCAAATTTGGAAAGTTGATGTATCTTATGTTTTACTGAACAATTAAAATTTCAGTACCATCTTTGATGTTGTAATGCATTTAAACTGTAGAAGTTCAGATCGATTTTATACAGTTGATATTATAAATAAATACGTCGAGTCGTAAACCCACATATCATACAAAGAAATAAACGTACACATAGCAAAGTCAACACGTGACCGTATGTTATTGTTATTGCAATCACTAAGGAGATAATGTTGATCATTTATCGATAATTCTAAGTTATCGAAAGTCGACTATCGCTAACAAATAACAACATTGAATGATGATGCTTGGAAGTTATTTAAGTGTTACTTTAAAAATATTCTAAGATGTGTTTTAAATAAAAGTTGAAGCAATTAACAAATTAAGTTTAGAAGGGGATGGAAAATGTGATTCGATATTTTAATAGGTAAAAATGTTATTGCTATCATAATTTTAATTTATAGACCGTATGATTTTAGTTGCTTGCACGCAATGTTTCAGAAAGATGCCAAATGTTTCCGTCGTGGACTCTTTTTTACTCTTTGTTATATTAATTTTCTATATTTCAACTCAACAACTCCTAAACCATCCTCGCCTACAAACGCCAACATGTATACAAGTCAGAAGTCAAATATATATATATATATATATATATATATATACAATTATTGTTCGAAATTATAGTTGAATATTATATCTATAATTAGATCAATGATATTGTACTGAACCCCTTTGAATAATATTGTACTAACAATTATTGTTCAAAATTATAGTTGAATATTATAATTATTGTTAATTGATCGTTGAGTCGAGTTTAACTGAGTTGATCGTTGGATGTGTGAGGATGTGTTCACTACTAATTAGTTGGATAAAATTTTAATTAACTATTTTCAATTTTTTTAAAATAGTTTGATGGTTTTAAACCGCTTGCAAAATTAAAACCTAAATCAAAACACTTCAAAGCAGTTTGATTCGGTTCAAAATCAAAATATTGAAAATTCCATGTGGACTCAAAATCAATGGGTTCAAATTATAGTTTCGATTTGATTTTATTATTGAGTTTTTTTGTTGTTCAGTCCTAGTTTTCCCAAACTTATATTGAAATGTTTAATACAAAACAAGAAATATTGTAATATTCAACCAAAAAAAAAAAAGTTTCCAACAAGTTGACCAAGAACATGTCTAGAGAAAGACCACATAAAGCTTTGTTCTAATAGGCGTTTGTGTATATACATTTTGACCTTGCATGGAAGTCCCATGTCAAATTCTTTTGGTCTTTAGATAATCTTTTAAATGTCAATTATTTCTTGTAAAAAATGTCAAATATTAAGTTTTTGACGGTCTCTAATTATGGAAAATACAAGGAAGCTTTCGAAATTGTCCTACGGAACATAATTGAAATTTATAAACTAATATGTATAAAAGAGAGATATTATGTACAGAAATAGAATGAGATTTATTGAATATTAACAAAAAAATTCAGTCCAAAATATATTTAAACTGCACACACACGCAAAATTTGATGCGTAATTGAAAAGTCTAGAATAACAATACAACATATTTCCTTGTAATTTTTATGCACACAAAACTCGAATATCATTTATTTAAGCAAAAAATAAAAAGATTTTTATGGCTTTCCCCTCTCTCTCTCTCTCTCTCTCTCCCTC